CTGATTGAGTCTTTGACAAATCTACCCTCTATATAACGTTTGTACAAAACTGCAAAGGCTGAGTTACGGTCAAGCATGTAAACTGCTTCGAATATATGTTTTTGGAGCCACTCTGGTACATGTTCAGATATTCTAACTTGAATATCACGAATACTCATCTTTACGTTTATTTGGACACATATAAGTAAATTGGAAAACAAATGGATTTGAAGAGCAATCGTTTACATTCTGTGTATATCTTCGGTGAACCACAGACCTTGTTTTAAACAGAATATTAGTCAACTTTGGTTCATGTCTTTACCATAATTGTGTATTCGAGTTACCACTGTGTGGTAAGGCGATATAGACAGGCTTGTCTGATTTCAGAAGACTAATAGGTCTCACTTAAGATCTCATCGATTGCCTTTTTTGGAGGATAAACAATCTCACTCAGTGTTTTGTTTAATAAGCTCACCTTAACTAGATTAGTATTATTTATTTGGATAGAAACAATCCTATTAAATAGCCATTTATTATCTTCCCCATCCATTTAACTCTCAATTTCGCGGGTTGATCATGGGTTTTCAATAGAAATACAACTTAACAAGTGAATGTGTGACCAGACAGTTCGAAGTATATTCAGCTTACATATCACATGAGTGAAAATAGCTTGATCTTGTATTTTCTAAAATTCTGATGTAAACTAAATTAGAATTCATAAAAATTTGGAAGACAAAACTCATTTAATGTTGCTAATTAAAAGACCATTTCAGTTTTTCTTTATTTCAAGACGGTATTTTGGAAATTGTAATCATTAATTGTGCATGAATTGACTTACTGATTAACTAAAGTTGAAGGCCATTAAACTTATTTAAACTATGTCTATAAATCGTATGTTTAAGCGTTGAGTTAAGAAGTATAATGCACTATCTGGTATCTGAATCTTTTTAAATAATAATTTGAATACAACAGAATTATAGGTCGATAATTAGTGCTAATTTCTTAACAATAACAACAATTTATTTAACAGACATGGTTGAAATCCATTTGTCACAGCTACTTACTACGAGTTTTGGAAATCTATTTTGACTAGTGATAGATTTTCGAGAGTTCTAGTGAGAAACCGTGACCAGTGGAGTTGGACCGTGTCTGTTGTGAAGTAGTTACTCACTGATGACAATGTGGTGATGGTGGTGGATTGGTTGAAGTTAGACATTAACACCGTTGGGTGTCAGCTCAGTGATCTAGATGTTAAGCGTTCGCGCGCGAGACTGATGGTTTTGTGTTCTAGTCCCTTTGGTGTGGGATTGTGGATGGGCACTAATGATGGGTTCCATAATGGCACGAAACGGCCGTCCTAGTGCTACCAGGCTTTCGATGGTTTTCCAGCATTCATAATATCAATCTAAACTCAACAATTAGTGCAGCGTTATACTGATAATAAAATCATTGTCAGATTGCCAATTGAAATTCTCGATTCTGAAGTGAATACGTTTGTTGAAGTAGTGAGTAAATCAGTTACAATAGAGAAAACGTCATAGAGCACAGACAACTGTATGTCTGCCAGTCTATTACTCTTCTGATTGTTTCGATATACATGAGTTCCTAGGTAGGATTGCTCGACGATATATTTAAATTGTTTAACACTCAGCCTCTGTATATGTACAGCCAGCTGTTAGGTGACACGAAGAATACGTGCTACTCACTGAGTATAACTGAAGAAAATTGATGCTTCTATCATGAAAAATAATTCAGATGTCATTAATCGTGACCTATAGTTTACTGCTTCCTCAATCTTATCACGTTTTGCCAACACGGAAAGAGATTTATAGAATATCTCAATGTTTAAATAAGCTATGTATTTTCTGGAACTACCAATCATTTACATTTGTCGTCGATCAATCATTACTCACTATCTATCCTCTTAAATCACCGTTTTTCTTTCCCAAATGTATAAGAAGAGATCATGTTGTGCATCGTAGGACCTTGAAGAATGCACATAGCTATGATGGTTTGTGTTTTGGCTTTATTATGAAGATGGTTGTTGATAGTTATTTGAAATCTCACGAAAGCTATTATATGTTATTTGATAAAATACTAACCATTCCCTCCATTCTTCCGTATATATGGGTGAGGACTCTCATACATAAGTATTCATTTTCGATGAGGAAAATGAAGAGACTCAATAATATTGTATTTAATGCAGATTATCTTACGAAGAAGTTACATGAGTAAAACGGAAATCATGATAGTTGACTGTGCCAACCAGTATATCATTGTTATTATATTTAAGTGATTCACAAATGTTATTCCGGAGGAATTACTATTCTTTAGACAGGTTTGACCAAGCGAGAATTCATCAGTATCTATTAGTTCGAAGCCTCATACTGAAAATTCAACTTTTCCACGTTTTCTCATTCATAATTATTCATAATGTGTTTATGCAAAGAAGATAACAAACCAAAGTATATTTATGTTCTTAATTGATTCATACAAACAAAAAGAAATCATCTTAATAAATTAAAACAAATGTGTTTGCGTGTGTGTACAAGTAAGGAATGTAAAATAAATAAATTTAATGATCCGACTGAATTTTCGATCTCTCTGGATGACCTTCATGACCTGAAAACAAAACACAAATAAACAATGGTATGTTATGTAATAATGCGTTCACAAGCTACACAAAACAATACAATCTCCAATAGCGGACAATATCAAATCGTGCAGTTACATACCATGAGACGTGATTGTAACGAATTTGTAATTAATTAGATCTTTAAAATTAGATTCTCATTATGACTTTTACAACAAAAACTGACAGATTTGGCAACTGGAGATAATAAAATCAATATTGATGAATGACTTCTGAATTTTACAGATGTTCACGAAACGATAATCAGTGGATCCATAAAGTTTGAAGGTTCACCAAAAAATTGTTTTGTATATTTACTTGAGTTTTTTGAAATATTTTATAGTTTCAAGATATAAATCGACACAAACGAATATTAACTGTGATTAAATGACAAGCGTTTTGTTCTAGCTTGGGATTCTTCAGATGTGGGGAAGTGTGACAAACATACGATCGAATGGATAATTTCCAAGTCTCACAAAATATAACACTATAACTAGTTATTAAATGAAGTTGCAAACAGAAGTAAAACAATTCTTCCGAATTTCTATGGCTTTACAGTGGTTTGGAATGAAAATGACATTTAGACTATGTAAATATTCTTCTCAAAAAACGTTACAATGTATATTATAACACTGATTAGTGAAGAAACTGGAATAGTTGTACAATCTCACAGTTACACAACAAATTGATTTAAATTATTAACTTTACAACAATATTTACAAGCATAGCCATCATATCCCATTTAATCACCAGGGCACTTCATCCAATCAAACACAACCATTTTAGATTATAGTTCATATAAGAGTTGGCCATATCACATTGAAACGATCAGAACACCTGGTTGGCTTATACGAACTCATATCACTTGTGGAGTAGACGAGATATCGGTCTACTAATCTAAGAAAGAGTTTACTGAGCAGCAGTTCGCTCCGTTCTTCCTTATTATTGTGCAACATGGTCATTAAGAGGATGAGATATACGTAGACTACGGGTATTACATTGTAGGTGTCCAGAATGCATTGCTTGTGTACAATGAGATTACAAAGTAAGAAATGTTTGGGTTAGGAATAGAGTATTAGGTAAAAATGGGAAATCAATTGATGAGGTAGTATATCTACTTCAACTGAGGTGATTGGGACATGTGTTACTTTTGCACAACCACTCACTTCTTCGACGAGCAACGATGAATGATATAGGTGTAGATTGAAGGAAAGATAGTGCTGACCAAACCAAGACATCGAATCAATCCATAATCACACTGAATATTGTAATGAGACATATATAGAGAGATGTAGATTTCAGCTTGGGGTCCACGCGATTATCGTAACTAATAGTTGGACACTGGAATGGAATGGTTCAAAATTGCTTGCAAATGATCAGGTAGATTCACTCCCAGTATTTCCTTAGATTTGAAGTCTATAAATGTTTTTTACTTCACTATTTTATAATTTCATCTTGAATTGTGTTTTGGATACATAATATTTTCTATTATTACTGATACTACTACCATCTCTACTATTTTGTGATCTACCCTGACAATTTCATACAGACGACCTAATGGGCTATAGGAACTTGTATTCACGTGACAGATTTTACGTTGCGTTTGACTGATTGAAAATAGTTACATAGATTTAAGATGATGAATTGCAAAATAGTCGAGATTATTGGAGAGTCGATGATACCGAGAAAAATCTGTAAATTGAGAATATGACTCGAAAATACAGAGTGGAACTCAAGGTCTACAAGAAAATAACGAGTGAATGCATTCACGCTGTTGTGACGAGTTTTAAGCTGTGTGACAAAACGCATTCGACTGCTAATCGTGGTTTTCGTGTGGAACCCAAAACCAGGTAGTCTATATATACCTACGTCGCTCACACCAATAACTGAATGATTTCAATAAGGTTAACATCTGTTATTAATTTAACAACACTCAAATGAATATCTATACAAATAGGTAAACGTGAATCTACTGTTCCACTACTTAGTAGTTAAACAATGCTGAAGTGTCGGTGACTAAGCGGTAAGAAATATCAATTACAATGTGTTCTGTAGTGGTATTTACATATATCTATGGACGCAATGTAAACTATATTAATTTCAAGGGAAACATAGTTCTCATAAACTTCATATTCTTATCGCATTATCTAGAAAAGAAATATTAGTGTCAACAATTTAGAACAATGTTAAAATAAAAGTCATTTAATTAACGGAACATAATCAACAAAGTGGTATGAATATCATTTTACTGAACTCAACATAGATCAATACATAAGATAAATCTACTTCAAAGTATGTAAATTGTGAAACATACATTTTCACATTGATTGACATTACTTGGAATTGGTTATTACCATTAAGGTTAAGGTTTCAAAGCATTCGATGATAATTACGACGATGTGTCCACAGAACAACAATCATCGGATTCTATAACCGATGGCATTACATTGTTCGATTTATCATGTGCATTATTTGAATTATCAGGTGGATTTTGTCGAATAGCTGTATATAGATAGGGCGAAATGTTAAGGATGAGAAAAAGAAATATGAGAGAAGTAATTGAATAAACGAGTGAATTCATATCATTAACAAATAAATAACTCAATAAATAGAATACTTGGGTTATTTTGAAATTTTGGCCAACCGAAGCCCCTAGTAATGGTGACAACTTGGACCAATATGCACTCATGGCATGTCCAATGTTGTTAATGGGTGACTGGTGTTGTGTTCATTCAAATTTTCTGATGATTTACACGTGTTTTACTTTTACTATCGTGAGAAAATCTAACATCAACATATAAAGTTTAAAATCCTGGAGGACGTAGTCCTTTCACTACTGTGTTACACTCCAACAGCGAAACCAAAACGACAACAGGGTATACTCTGGAGTGAATCAATATGAACTTCAATCTTCTTCAGAGTTTATGAACACAATCAGATGTATGAGGCAGAAAAGCATATAACTCTATTCAATATGAAGTTTTCAACAAATCTGTCTTATTAAAGAAAACGTATAAGAAGCATACCATATCGTAAAAATGATTTCCAGATAAAAGTGAGGCAGTGAGCCAACGGTTTGCCAAAAGTTGTCATTAGAAATTGCATTTATTGCGGTATGTTAGGAATAACGAATATTCTTATTTCTATTCAGTATTATGATAGAAATACTGATGAGACTAACGTTCTTGACTCTGAGTAGTCAAGCATCAATTTAATTTTGTCACATGAGAATAACGTTACGTTAGGGTGATAAGATGGCAAGATAAGAGCTTACTTTTGTGTTGGGTACGCTATTTGAGATGTATGGTTTAACTGTGGGGGTTTCAATGATGTTTTAGTAAGAGTTTATTTAGTTCGGGTTGATGTATAATTATGTGGATGACTGATGATTTCCATATTCATGATTACTTTTGCTAATACCACAGTCTTTAGTCAATGATATCTAAAGTGGAATCAGGCACATAGATGGATATGTTTGACATTTTCTCTGTACGTATTGATAAATGTGATAATACGGATATGAATTTAATTGGTAAAGTGTCAAAGTATGCAATCTAGTAAGCTAAAAAAAAACCCAGAATATTTATTGAAGTACGGCATTCAGGTTACTTAACATATCGAAGTAGGTACAAATGATCAGTTTGTATGATGAATCAACCAAATGATGATTAAATTAAGAGTAATAATTTATCATAATCTTCTGAATTCTTCATGTCCCTTCTTTCTCTTTCCAAATTTATTACACTGGATTAACATCTTGAAACACTAATGTTTACGATTACTGCTTATACTCTTACTATCTCTACCACCATGAGATTTGAATCGACAATTGTATCTGTGTGCTATTGTGTTATGATAACTCGAACTGATGTACGTACGAAGTTCTACGTTGTTGACTGACTGACTGAATGAATTATCATATACTAAAATTATTTTTGTTCAAAAATATTAATGATATGTGCACCAAATATTCAATAAATCAAAAAAATATTTAGGGCAATAACTCACCTGACTTAATTCTGCCTCGATGTACAGGAAGTTTTTTCGAAAAATCTACATTCTTGGCATCCATTATGTTCGTAGATTTTTTTAAAGACTTGAAAGCATCTGTCAATTCCGTAAGCATTTCTATACTGGGAGATTTTAAATTATGTTTATAATTAAATGAAACTGTTGTTGATAATCTTCTGACAGGTTTCACTCCTGAATTTTAAGTAAATTCGAATGTAATTTTTTATAAATAAGAAAGATACATACAATCAGGACAAAAGTTATGAAAAGTTTTTATCATTTTATAAATTTTGGGGAAGAAAGATGTGAAATTTAGGGGCTTGACTTATGAAACAATAATCTCCAACTCCAGCAAGAAAAATAAAAGTTTTCCAAAAACAAGGTAAACACATTGCATGAATTTGGATCCGCCAATGTTGCTAATGTCCTTGGCAAAGAGAACGGAACATAAACAACTAATATCAGAGCAGAAGCGGTAGTGGTAGAAATACTTACGCCTGTTACTCCTAGTCGAGCATAGGCCACCGATCAGCATTCTTCGACGTAATAACATAGATCAATTACACAGAATATGATTACAGAAGAATCAGTTGACGCAGTAAAAAAAGTAGAACAAGTTTAAGATGTAGTAACACGCGACAGATATGGAACTAACATAGCTACAAATAACAACAAATTAAGACATCACAGAAAACAGCTTCGTGTAATCTAACAATCAAAACCATAACAAAATTACTAAGCCACAAATGTGGAAAGATCAGTGGTAAAATTAATTTCTTAAAAATGAAAAAAATGATTGTTTAATTAATTACAGCGAAACGAAGGATCAGTTATCATTTCGTGAATCACTCATTTCAACAAAGTACCAATCGGACTTACCTGAATCTTTAAGTGATGGATCCGAATAATTAGCACGCATAGTGGAGTTCCGTTGTAAAGACGATGGAGCTGGTGGAGGTGGTGGTGGTGGAGGTGGAGGTGGCGGTGGTATTGCAGAACGACATTCTTTCTCAGATTCCTAAGAGCAGTGAGAGAAAGTATCAACTACAATCACGTCATGTGAATAAAAATGACAAATTAAACTCGAGTACAACATCATCCGATTAGACTGATCAGACATTATGTTTACATTGCATACATACCAAAAAACATTGATTTTCCACATCCACATTGAAAAGAGACAATGAAACAGTCACAAATGGAATCCGCTCACCATAGAAATACAAAACCACAATAATACATTTACTAAACACAACTCAATATTTTAAACGAGTTAGTCAAAGCACTAATGCATGCGTAGAAAGGAATCTAAGGTCATTGTGACTGAAAGAAAAACCAACACACACAGTACAGCTTCCACAAAAGACAAATGACAAATCGTGTGATAGTTTCCGAAATAACACTGATCACTCTTATTAGTCTATTCTACAGATCAGAATCAATGGTAAATATATTTATTTTATGAAGAAGTAGGACATAAATTATCTGAAAATATTGGCTTCAGTTTGTGTGGCGCAAACTCAGTGTCTAGAAGACCATTTATAACTCCGCCTTCAGGCCTTCTAGGTTCACTGCTAGTCCCAAACTCGGATAAGGTTGCAAGTTTGGGCATGGGTTTATTAAACCTTTCTGAAAGATAGCTAATCAGAAAAATCATTTCAATCATTTAAACTCTCTCCTGTGAGTTGAAGGACAATAATTCAGAAGACTTACGACGACCGCAAGTGGAAGACGAGATTTTCTAGAAGTCATGAGTCCGATGCCCCTTCTGACAACCAGAGCGACAATTAATATAGGTACATGGAATATCCAAACAGTGGAGGAGACCGGGAGGACCAATGACTCCTCAAAACTGAGATTCTTCGCTACAATTGAGTCATTACTCAAAACTGCCGGAATGAGTGAAGAAAACAACATAAAATAAGACAAAATATAAAACCATTAACTCCACGAATGAAAGACAACACCCAACTGACTTCAAAAGAACAAAAGGCTTTAAAGATACTCAAAATCAGAGAAGGTATTGTCATCGTTGCAGCGGACAAGGGACACACCACAGTGATTATAGACAAAGAAAATTATATCATGAAAGCCGAGGAACTACTTGGGGATAAAAGAATATCTACACCGGTGGACAACAATCCAGTCAAAAGGTTAGACAACCGAATCTCAAAGACTTTAATCAAGCTCGTCAAAGTAGGACAAATATCAAAGCACAAACCAAACCATCCACTAGGTAGAATTGTAGCACTTCCGGAACCCCAGAAAACAACTTATCATGAGAAATATCACGAATATTGAAACATTTAGTGCATTCGTCCAAACACTCCATCAGCAACAACCAATTGTAGGATTGAACAAACCGTATCCCAGCAGAGGAATAAATCAAGAAGCGCTGGAAATGGATAGGACACACATTGAGGAAAGCACCGAACTGCGTCACAAGGCAAGACCTCACTTGGAATCCCAAAGGACAATGGAGGAGAGGAAGAACAAAGAACACATTATGTTGAAAAATGGAGATAGACACGAGAAGAATGAACAACAATTGGATAGAACTAGAAAGGAAGATTCAGGACAGAGTGTGTTGGAGAGTGGTGGTCGGCGTCCTATGCTTTATCGGGGGTAATAGGCGTAAGATAATTATTTGACAGAGTCGAGTCAGTAATGATTATTTTCTAGTATCATTAGGGATAAATATATATGCTAAGGAAGTTAATTTGTCCGAGCTGTAAAATTTGCATTCTTATTGCAGAATTTATTTTATAGAGGGAGAATAAACACAAGGAATTACTTACTTTACTATACCCAATACTATTTTATTTCATAGTTTATATCACAAACTCATCTTATCTAAACCACTACTGAAGAGCAGAGTTGACTGGGTATTTTTCACTTATCGCTATGGTATTTGTCAGGAATACTCATCCATAACCTTAACACTATGAACGAACAAAGGATTTTCGGTTACGAGTGAGAACCGATTACCTTCAGACCATTAAGCCATCATCCAGTTGAGTTCACTTCCGCTTGTACCTCTTCCAGAGTTAATGCCAGTCCCAAGCCCGAGTAAAGGAGGAGTGTTGGGCATGGGATTAGCGACCCCATCCCGCAGAAAACTAACTCGCTGAAAAAACGCTAGCCAGAAAACACTAACCTGTAGAGTTCATGTCTACGTAGGTACATCCAGCTAACGAGTCGAAATAGGGCAAAACGAAGGTTCTGGATTACATGGCTAGTCACTATCCACCTTTACTTATAAAGCTTGTGAATCAAAGCAATATCGAGGCAATGCTCACTGTATGCACATATGTCAATAAGCGACTGATCAATTGCAGTCCTAAATATCAATGGGAAGATTCAAGTAAACAATACCAAGTGTATTTAACTACTAGTTAGTAGTTAGAAAATATATCTCAAATAAATTTGTAAATTACTGGTTAGTAGGATGAATGGTAATTTACTGTTAAAATGAAGGTAACCACCTGGTTATTCAGTACTTATGAAACTCAAGATATTTGGTAGATTTAAAAACACGACACTGAATAATATATTCAATGATGTGATCTTAGAGATTAGATGAAGCGTATTGTTAGAGTGGATGACGCTTAGTTCGAATAAACTTGTTAATTGTGAAGAACTACCAGTCACTAAATAAAATATTAGTTTGAAATGATCGTTCAATACTAATATCATCTAGAGTATCCTGGAAGACTGAGCAGAATATGATGCCGATAATTTCTTAGTGTTATAACTATCTAGTTTGTAAGAATTCTTCAGCTAGCATTAATAAGCGAATAAGTTTAAAATCTATGTAACTAGAATAATATATTTAACAAATCCATCTGAAAATAGGGTAAATTATTAGAATGGGATTTGTGAAGATTTTAGTTAATCGATGTAAGCTAAACTACCACTGAAAACCTGGTAGCACTGGACTGCTGATTCGTCTTTTTATGTGCATTCACGATCCCACACCAAAGGGATTCGAATCCAGAACCTTCACTCTCACACGCGAACACTTAAATCCTAGAACACTGATCCGGCATCAAATCGTGTTGATTTCTAACTCCATTTGGCCCATCGTCTGAGGTAGATACCTGCCTGTACTCGACACGGATTGAACAATGGATGGATGATTGCGCGAAATCATGGGTTGACTAAAGTCGGATATTAACACTGTTGGGTGTCGGTTCAGAGGTCTAAATGCTAAGTGTTCTTGCGTGAGACTGAAGGTTCTGGGTTCGAGTCCCTTTCGTAAGGGATCAGGGATGCACATTACTGGAGAATTCCATACTGAGAGGAATCACCAATCCAGTGCTTCCAGGTTTTCAGTAGTGGTCTAGCTTACATAGACTCATGAATTCAACCATCATACTTAGTTAACCCTTCTTAATTTAATATATTAAATTTTAGAAAGAAAGAAAATATCTATAAAAAGAATTTATTTACATATTACTGCAATCATTGTATATGCTGTTATTTTAATAATAATAACAATGTTATTATTGATATAAATGATTTTGGTCATTCATCAAGTAAAGTCTTCAAATAATTCATTACTTTAAATACTTACGCCTATTACCTCCGATAAAGCACAGGACGCCAACCACCACTCTCCAACACACTCTATCCTGGGACTTCATTTATAGTTCGAGCCAACTGTTGTTCATTCTTCTCATGTCTATCACCTTAACAAGTGAATGTGTGACCAGACAGTTCGAAGTATATTCAGCTTACATATCACATGAGTGAAAATAGCTTGATCTTGTATTTTCTAAAATTCTGATGTAAACTAAATTAGAATTCATAAAAATTTGGAAGACAAAACTCATTTAATGTTGCTAATTAAAAGACCATTTCAGTTTTTCTTTATTTCAAGACGGTATTTTGGAAATTGTAATCATTAATTGTGCATGAATTGACTTACTGATTAACTAAAGTTGAAGGCCATTAAACTTATTTAAACTATGTCTATAAATCGTATGTTTAAGCGTTGAGTTAAGAAGTATAATGCACTATCTGGTATCTGAATCTTTTTAAATAATAATTTGAATACAACAGAATTATAGGTCGATAATTAGTGCTAATTTCTTAACAATAACAACAATTTATTTAACAGACATGGTTGAAATCCATTTGTCACAGCTACTTACTACGAGTTTTGGAAATCTATTTTGACTAGTGATAGATTTTCGAGAGTTCTAGTGAGAAACCGTGACCAGTGGAGTTGGACCGTGTCTGTTGTGAAGTAGTTACTCACTGATGACAATGTGGTGATGGTGGTGGATTGGTTGAAGTTAGACATTAACACCGTTGGGTGTCAGCTCAGTGATCTAGATGTTAAGCGTTCGCGCGCGAGACTGATGGTTTTGTGTTCTAGTCCCTTTGGTGTGGGATTGTGGATGGGCACTAATGATGGGTTCCATAATGGCACGAAACGGCCGTCCTAGTGCTACCAGGCTTTCGATGGTTTTCCAGCATTCATAATATCAATCTAAACTCAACAATTAGTGCAGCGTTATACTGATAATAAAATCATTGTCAGATTGCCAATTGAAATTCTCGATTCTGAAGTGAATACGTTTGTTGAAGTAGTGAGTAAATCAGTTACAATAGAGAAAACGTCATAGAGCACAGACAACTGTATGTCTGCCAGTCTATTACTCTTCTGATTGTTTCGATATACATGAGTTCCTAGGTAGGATTGCTCGACGATATATTTAAATTGTTTAACACTCAGCTTCTGTATATGTACAGCCAGCTGTTAGGTGACACGAAGAATACGTGCTACTCACTGAGTATAACTGAAGAAAATTGATGCTTCTATCATGAAAAATAATTCAGATGTCATTAATCGTGACCTATAGTTTACTGCTTCTTCAATCTTATCACGTTTTGCCAACACGGAAAGAGATTTATAGAATATCTCAATGTTTAAATAAGCTATGTATTTTCTGGAACTACCAATCATTTACATTTGTCGTCGATCAATCATTACTCACTATCTATCCTCTTAAATCACCGTTTTTCTTTCCCAAATGTATAAGAAGAGATCATGTTGTGCATCGTAGGACCTTGAAGAATGCACATAGCTATGATGGTTTGTGTTTTGGCTTTATTATGAAGATGGTTGTTGATAGTTATTTGAAATCTCACGAAAGCTATTATATGTTATTTGATAAAATACTAACCATTCCCTCCATTCTTCCGTATATATGGGTGAGGACTCTCATACATAAGTATTCATTTTCGATGAGGAAAATGAAGAGACTCAATAATATTGTATTTAATGCAGATTATCTTACGAAGAAGTTACATGAGTAAAACGGAAATCATGATAGTTGACTGTGCCAACCAGTATATCATTGTTATTATATTTAAGTGATTCACAAATGTTATTCCGGAGGAATTACTATTCTTTACACAGGTTTGACCAAGCGAGAATTCATCAGTATCTATTAGTTCGAAGCCTCATACTGAAAATTCAACTGTTCCAGGTTTTCTTATTTATGATTATTCATAATAAATAGAATATGGTTACAATTTACACCTGAATGATTAATCGAGAAATCTAGATTTTTCGGCAAAAAGTCTGAGTGAAACTAAAGAAGTAGATGTTGTAAAATAAACACATATTTTGTGTGTAAGCATTTATGGAATAATTCGACCAACAAAATAAGCGTAACACTTACATTACTTAATCGTTGTTTGTTCAGTATATAAGAATGCCCTACAGATGGGTTTCTTGATCTATTGAGTCATTAAAGGATGTTCACAAAACTACTGAAGTCTAGATTCTCAAATATTTGGAGATTTATACGAACCGCCATTTGAACTGGCTTCCTCAACAGGATCACTGCTCTTCTTACTTTTATTATCTTCGTACATACGCTGCTGCAGTTTACTTTTTCAAACACATTTCAGAGATCGGATGCCTATATATTACCCACTTAACTGACAGAGACGTTACGAGTAATTGATCAGTTCTTTGAAGCACCACTCACGTATACTGGTCCACTAAGCGAGGCATAATGAAATTTGACATAAGGCTCTAGGATATGAACATTTTCTGACCAAAATGGGTGTGGCATGTTACGGACTACTTGTTGGGAAATTCAGAAAAATATCCCAAAAATTATCCTGTTAAGTCTAATGCTATCCTTGAACGTGAAATGGTGTCATTTTCCTATTGGTCAATATTTATTTCACGCGTCATTTCCCTACTGGTCAATATTTATTTCACGTGTCATTTCCTTGTTGGTCAATATTCACGGTAGTCCTTACTGTATAAATATGCATTTGTCTGTAAAGTATTATTCCTATTCTCATTCTTCCCCTGACCCCATAAACAATTTCATCAACGGTTTGTGTTCTGATATATTGGAGATTTGGGAACAGTATTGGGGTCGTACTGGAATATTTGAAGTTGGTCAGTCGGTAGAAATTAGAGTAGCCAACCCGCGGTCCACAATACTACTACAATGAGAATAACTGGCCACGGTTAGATCAGGTTGAATAGAAAACAAGGGTGATAGTAATCCATGTAATCATCAACTGTTGGCTTTGATTTCATACGATTATTTACATCTTAAACTCGAATACTACTTCATATTTATTTATCCTTACTTGTCTTTATTGAGGCGTATTCTCTATATTAATTTTCAATATCAATAGCATCATAAGGATTTCGATTCCTTCGACCTCCGTTGCAATAAATTTCTCTATGTTGAACAGATAGTTGAACTGATGTACATTTGTGTCGAGTTGCACAATCTTTGTATGTGACTAACATACCTTGAAATAATAGTGCATTTTGTTCCGTCTATATTATCCTCAAATGTTAATTTTTTTTAAAAAAAATCTTATTACTCTATGACTAAGTAGAACGTTAAAGGAAATAAGTAGACTTTCAAAGAATCAATAAATTTTTCCATCTAGACCCTAAACCGTCTATCAACCAAAGGACGTGTTTACTGCGCAGCAGTTCGTTCCGTCCTACTTTATGGCTGTGAAACGTGGCCGGTAAGAGTAGAGGATATCCGTGGGTTACTAGTATTTGATCATAGGTGTCTTCGAAACATTACTCGTATATCATGGGACCATCGAGTAAGTAACACAGTTGTTAGGAAACGGGTAATAGGCAAATCGATTGATGAATTAGTGAAACTTCATCAGTTGAGATGGCTGGGACACATGTTACCGACTATCTCGACGTGCTATGTTCAGTGGTATAGGAGTAGGTTGGAAGAAAGCTAGAGGCGGCCAAATCAAAACATGGCACAAGTCTATGAAGTCACTGACAAGTGGACTGAGTCATGTTAGTAGGTGTAGACTACCTGGTTGGGGACTGCGAGATGATAGCAACCGATGGTTAGAGACCCTGAATGACATGGCTCAAAATCGTTTGCAATGGCGCAGGTGCATCCACTCTTTGTGTTCTCCCAAATTCTAATCTTCTGAATTCTTCATGTCCCTTTTTTCCTCTTTCCAAATTGATTTCACTGTATTATACTCTTTAAATAACATCTCCGAACCTTAATCTTCCCGATTACTGCTTATACTCTTGCTACCTCTACCACTACGGGATTTGAATCGACAACTGCAACTCCAACTGATGTACGTACGTACGAAATTCTACGTTGTTACTGACTGACTGACTGAGAACCTAATGAAATTAATCAAACAGAAAATAATCACAATATTATATTTGGATATTAAAACTAGTTTATCATTTCAAAACAATAAGTCGAAATTGTTCATCGAAAGGATTCATTAAAATCATGTAAACATTTTTATCTATGAAAAGTATACCTGAAAGGTTGATACTTCAATCGAAATTACGGTTGATTTGAAAAAAAAAGAGATTAGATAAGTGTACATGATTAAAAAAAACCTTGAGAAACTAGTAAAAAATATCAAACATGATAAGATGTAATTTTCATAAGTCATTGACATAGTATATAAGCAAGCAACAAAATGAGTTATTATTCAATCATAAATATAACTGAAGATTGTTGACAATTTAAAGGATAATAAATGATAACAATAACAGAATAAGTGGATTATGTTACATTAGATTAGGAGTATTTTTTTTTCTTATTTGATTCAAAACAAACAAAAAGAAACCATCTTATTAAATTAAAACAAATGTGTTTATATGTGTGTAAGTAAGGAAAACAAAATAAATAAATTTGAAGATCCAACTGAATATTCAATCTTTATGAAAGACCTTTATGACCTGAAAAGAAAACACAAATACAACACTGGTATATCAAGTAAAAACATGTTGAAAGTAAGTAAGCAATTCACAAGCTACATAAGACAATATAATCTTTAATAGAGAACAATAACAAATAGCGCAGTTACATAGCATATACATAGACTACTGGTATTACATTGTAGGTGTCCAGAATGCATTGCTTGTGTACAATGAGATTACAAAGTAAGAAATGTTTGGGTTAGGAATAGAGTATTAGGTAAAAATGGGAAATCAATTGATGAGGTAGTATATCTACTTCAACTGAGGTGATTGGGACATGTGTTACTTTTGCACAACCACTCACTTCTTCGACGAGCAACGATGAATGATATAGGTGTAGATTGAAGGAAAGATAGTGCTGACCAAACCAAGACATCGAATCAGTCCATAATCACACTGAATATTGTAATGAGACATATATAGAGAGATGTAGATTTCAGCTTGGGGTCCACGCGATTATCATAACTAATAGTTGGACACTGGAATGGAATGGTTCAAAATTGCTTGCAAATGATCAGGTAGATTCACTCCCAGTATTTCCTTAGATTTGAAGTCTATAAATGTTTTTTACTTCACTATTTTATAATTTCATCTTGAATTGTGTTTTGGATACATAATATTTTCTATTATTACTGATACTACTACCATCTCTACTATTTTGTGATCTACCCTGACAATTTCATAGACGACCTAATGGGCTATAGGAACTTGCATTCACGTGACAGATTTTACGTTGCGTTTGACTGATTGAAAATAGTTACATAGATTTAAGATGATGAATTGCAAAATAGTCGAGATTATTGGAGAGTCGATGATACCGAGAAAAATCTGTAAATTGAGAATATGACTCGAAAATACAGAGTGGAACTCAAGGTCTACAAGAAAATAACGAGTGAATGCATTCACGCTGTTGTGACGAGTTTTAAGCTGTGTGACAAAACGCATTCGACTGCTAATCGTGGTTTTCGTGTGGAACCCAAAACCAGGTAGTCTATATATACCTACGTCGCTCACACCAATAACTGAATGATTTCAATAAGGTTAACATCTGTTATTAATTTAACAACACTCAAATGAATATCTATACAAATAGGTAAACGTGAATCTACTGTTCCACTACTTAGTAGTTAAACAATGCTGAAGTGTCGGTGACTAAGCGGTAAGAAATATCAATTACAATGTGTTCTGTAGTGGTATTTACATATATCTATGGACGCAATGTAAACTATATTAATTTCAAGGGAAACATAGTTCTCATAAACTTCATATTCTTATCGCATTATCTAGAAAAGAAATATTAGTGTCAACAATTTAGAACAATGTTAAAATAAAAGTCATTTAATTAACGGAACATAATCAACAAAGTGGTATGAATATCATTTTACTGAACTCAACATAGATCAATACATAAGATAAATCTACTTCAAAGTATGTAAATTGTGAAACATACATTTTCACATTGATTGACATTACTTGGAATTGGTTATTACCATTAAGGTTAAGGTTTCAAAGCATTCGATGATAATTACGACGATGTGTCCACAGAACAACAATCATCAGATTCTATAACCGATGGCATTACATTGTTCGATTTATCATGTGCATTATTTGAATTATCAGGTGGATTTTGTCGAATAGCTGTATATAGATAGGGCGAAATGTTAAGGATGAGAAAAAGAAATATGAGAGAAGTAATTGAATAAATGAGTGAATTCATATCATTAACAAATAAATAACTCAATAAATAGAATACTTGGGTTATTTTGAAATTTTGGCCAACCGAAGCCCCTAGTAATGGTGACAACTTGGACCAATATGCACTCATGGCATGTCCAATGTTGTTAATGGGTGACTGGTGTTGTGTTCATTCAAATTTTCTGATGATTTACACGTGTTTTACTTTTACTATCGTGAGAAAATCTAACATCAACATATAAAGTTTAAAATCCTGGAGGACGTAGTCCTTTCACTACTGTGTTACACTCCAACTGCGAAACCAAAACGACAACAGGGTATACTCTGGAGTGAATCAATATGAACTTCAATCTTCCTCAGAGTTTATGAACACAATCAGATGTATGAGGCAGAAAAGCATATAACTCTATTCAATATGAAGTTTTCAACAAATCTGTCTTATTAAAGAAAACGTATAAGAAGCATACCATATCGTAAAAATGATTTCCAGATAAAAGTGAGGCAGTGAGCCAACGGTTTGCCAAAAGTTGTCATTAGAAATTGCATTTATTGCGGTATGTTAGGAATAACGAATATTCTTATTTCTATTCAGTATTATGATAGAAATACTGATGAGACTAACGTTCTTGACTCTGAGTAGTCAAGCATCAATTTAATTTTGTCACATGAGAATAACGTTACGTTAGGGTGATAAGATGGCAAGATAAGAGCTTACTTTTGTGTTGGGTACGCTTTTTGAGATGTATGGTTTAACTGTGGGGGTTTCAATGATGTTTTAGTAAGAGTTTATTTAGTTCGGGTTGATGTATGATTATGTGGATGACCCGACCGTTGTTGCTACCTTGACGTGGTGGTCGGGCTTGCCCATCGTGATGAAGCAACCGAGCTATACTGGCTGGAACAATCGTTCCTCAAGGTCCTACCATGCCAGACAGGTCGTTTGAAGAGTGGTAAGACTAAAAGCAGTAAACACAAGGTCCGAAGGCGAAGTCGTACTGATGACTGTACGGAGGTGTGACAGCAGTAAGGTGTTTCCTTCAGACAACCAGCATGACAGCGATGCTGCCTTCCCACAAGGAGGGGTGGGGTTAGAAAAGGTCGACCCTAAAAATGCACACCTCATCTTACCTCACGGATTTCCGTCTCCGGCGGTAAGGCCCTTTGAAGAACGGAGGTAACACGCCGAAAAGCTCCCACGAAAAGGCCGTGCGCGACCGGCCTCAAGCAGTTGTCCCTTGGGCACTGCGGTCACGCTCTCAGGTCACTGAGACCACCTCTAATCCAATTTCCTTTCCAGGTACCTCCAGAACAACCCTTCCTCGTTGTGGGCAACCGGGAAGTGATAACCGCCCTCATACCTCTAACAGCACTCGAGACCACTGTATTCATAATCAACCTCCTCTTCAATTCCTATTATTCCTCCTACATCGACTTTGCACTCTAGACTTCCTCTTTTGGCTTCCTCCTCAATTGTCACCTTAGCCAACGATTCTAGTGCTCAAAACCCTGTCCCAGATCTACTGAAACCTCGCTCCAAACTACACATTGGAGCCTTCAACGTACGCACTCTATGTCAAATCGGTCAGCAGGCTTCCTTGGCTAAAACCCTAGAGTCTCTTTCCATTGATGTATCCTGTGTCTCCGAAACACGCATACAGGATCCGAGTGTGGTCATTCACTTGACCTCACCTTGGCAAAACGGAGAGCCAACGAGATACACCCTCCATGTATCTGGTGACCCGATGGTCAGTTCTCGTGGACTGGCAGGTGTAGGCATAGCACTAAGCATGAGGGCGGAACAAGCACTGCTAGAGTGGATCCCCGTCAACAGTCGTCTATGTGCTGTTCGGCTAAACGGCTACGTAAGAACTCGGAAGGATAGGGATACACGTCGTTACCTTTTCGTCGTTTCTGCCTACGCTCCCACTGACTGCAGCTCAGATGATGTGAAAGATGAATTTTACAGAAAGCTTTCTGAACTTTTTCAGAAAGCTAAACGCCCAGACAAAGTAATCGTAGGAGGTGACTTTAATGCTCAGATAGGTAGCTTAAACCAAACAGAAAGGCATTTAGGTGGATATTTTTAGCATTCCGGCACAGCGAACAGATAATGGTGACCGTCTGCTGCAACTGTGCTCAGACAATCGCTTATTTTTAGCAAACACAAATTTTAAGCATAAGGAGAGACATCGTCTAACATGGCGACCCCCTACACCAAACCAACGATGGACTCAAATAGACCATATTGCCATTAGTCATCGTTGGAGAGGGTCGGTAGAAGATTGTCGCTCATTCTGGAGTACCTGCTTGGACTCCGACCACGCCCTAATACGGGCACGCATCTGCTTGCGCCTCACTGGACGCAAAAAAGCCACAGTTAAAAGACCCATTAGAACCGAACTGAGTAGCGAGGAAACCAAAAGTAGGTTCCAGGAATAACTGAGGTCACGATTAGGTAGTTCTGAAAACGAGGTTGACCCAGTTGTTGCTTGGAAAGCCATACAAACAGCTGTGGAAACAGCAGTGACATCTATCAGTGATTTAAACCACAGGGTTACAAAGAACCAATGGATTTCTTCAAAGTCTATCACACTGATGGATTCTCGCAAACTCGTCCCATCAGGTTCCGAACATGATGAAGAGCGACAACAAATCAGATCTAGGTTAAGAAAAAGTCTAAGAAACGACCGTGAGCAGTGGTGGGCAATGAAAGCAAAAGAGATGGAAAAGGCGGCAACTATAGGGAACACAAGACAGCTTTACAGACTAATAAAAGAAACTGGAATTAATAAGTCAAGTGTAAGTAAGATTATATCGGAAAAAGACGATACTCTCATCTGCTCCCAGTCCAGACGTTTAGAACGATGGGCGGAACATTTCAGTAAACAGTTCAACTGGCCTTTAGCTACTCTATAACTACCCTCCATTCCCAGACAGTGTGAATGGAACATTGAAGTAGTTCCCCGAACTCTTGCTGAAGTTCAAAAGGCTATAGTTAATCTGAAACGAGGAAGGACAGCTGGTCCAGATGGACTGGCTCCAGAGAACTTTAAGGATGGCGGTCCAATTTTAGCGATTAGCTTGACTAATATTTTAGCTATGATCTGGGAGTTAGACGTTATTCCATCTAACTGGTCACAATCACTTATCGTCCCAATATATAAGAAAGGGTCAAAATCATCCTGTGACAACCACAGAGGGATTAGTTTAACTAATATAATATCTAAAATACTAGCTTCGATAATTATCAGACGCCTAACTAAGACTCGTGAACTGCAAACACGAGAGACTCAAGCTGGCTTCAGACCTGGTCGTGGCTGTATCAACCACATATTCACCATTCGTCAGATTCTAGAACACAGGCATACTTATCGGCGTCCGACAATGGTGGTCTTTCTCGACTTAAAAGCAGCATTTGACTCGGTAGACCGCGAGATTCTGTGGCAGTGTCTGTCATTGAAAGGCGTACCACAGAAGTACATAAACCTTGTAAAGGCTCTTTACTCGAACACTACTAGTCGAGTCAGGGCTTATGGCGAACTGTCATCTACTTTTGCAACTTCAAGTGGTGTCCGTCAAGGCTGTCCACTTTCTCCATTTTTGTTTAACTTCATCATAGACCTATTGATGGAAATAACACTCTCGTCGACTGAATTCTCGGGTATTGATCTCCTTCCAGGAGGTCCACTTATCGACTTAGAATACGCAGATGATATAGTCCTGTTTGGTGAAGACGCTGACAAAATGCAGAGTCTTTTGGTAGCATTAAGCAACAATGCCAGAATGTTTGGAATGCGCTTCTCTCCCTCTAAATGCAAGTTGCTGCTTCAGAACTGGTCTGCGTCAACACCTGAACTAAGGATAGAGAGTGAAGTAGTCGAACACATTGAAAACTTCACTTATCTTGGAAGTCTGATCACCAGTAATGGGTTGGTGTCTGACGAAATCTCAGCACGGATTCGAAAAGCTCGCTTGGCTTTTGCCAACTTGCGTCATCTTTGGCGAAGGCGAGATATCCGTCTATCAATAAAAGGACGGGTATACTGCGCGGCAGTCCGTTCTGTTTTACTTTACGGCAGCGAAACATGGCCATTAAGAGTAGAAGACACTCGTAAGCTATTAGTATTTGACCACAGATGCCTTAGAAATATTACTGGCATCTGCTGGGATCACCGGGTAAGTAATAGTGAGGTTAGAGGCAGGGTATTAGGGAATGATGGTAAATCAGTTGATGAGGTTATGAATCTTCATCGACTGAGATGGTTGGGCCACGTGTTACATATGCATGAACACCGACTACCACGACGTGCAATGCTATCCGGTATTGGAGATAGTTGGAAGAAAGTTAGGGGCGGCCAAACCAAAACGTGGCATCAGTGCTTGAAGACACTAACTTCTAGTCTGAGCCATGTTGGTAGATGCAGACTACTTGGTTGGGGTCCGCGTGACTATCGTAACCAATGGTTGGAGACTCTTGGTGACATGGCTCAGAATCGATCACAATGGCGTCGGTGTATACACTCCCTGTTTTCCCTTAAACTAAGAGATTAAAATCACTTCATATCTTTCTTTCTACGAACCAATTCTTTCTTCTTGTACTATATCTCTATATGCAATCGTTCTCTTATATATTACAACCTTTGACCTAACCACTGCTATGAATCCGGTGTTCATCTTGTTGTGCTGATGCGGTATGGCAACCTGGACCGATGCACATATGTGCCTGGTCCTACGTTGTAGATGACTGACTGACTGACTGATGTGGATGACTGATGATTTCCATATTCATGATTACTTTTGCTAATACCACAGTCTTTAGTCAGTGATATCTAAAGTGGAATCAGGCACATAGATGGATATGTTTGACATTTTCTCTGTACGTATTGATAAATGTGATAATACGGATATGAGTTTAATTGGTAAAGTGTCAAAATATCCAATCTAGTAAGCTAAAAAAAAACCAGAAAATTTATTGAAGTACGGCATTCAGGTTACCTAACATATCGAAGTAGGTACAAATGATCAGTTTGTATGATGAATCAACCAAATGATGATTAAATTAAGAGTAATAGATTTGTCACATATTAGAAGTTATTTTTTCTCAAAGAAATTATTAATATTGGCAGTCAGTTAGGTACCATAAAGTTCAATAAATGAAATGGTGTTTAGGGCAATAACTCACCTGAAATAAGTTTACCTCGATTTACCGGAAGTTTTTTTGAAAAGTCTACATTTTCACCATCCATTATACTGTTAGTTTTTCTTAAAGATTTGAAAGCATTTGTCAATTCTGTAAGCATTTCTACACTAGGAGATTGTAAATTATTTTTAGGATTAGTTGAAATTGTTGATGATAATCTTTTGGTAGGTTCCACTCCTGAATCTTCAGTAAATGTAAATGTAATTTATATAAATCACAAAGATATATACACAATCAAGACAAAGGTTATGAAAATTATTAATATGTGTTGTATAATATACTAGATATATGAAATGAATACTTGCAAAATGTTAAAAAGGAATTAAAACTATATTTGAAAAGAGAAATAATCATTTTCCAGTGTATATATATGATGTGGTTATTGGTTAGCGATAAAATAATAATGGTACAATGTGAAAAAAGAAAACTTTAATAAAATGGTTTTGAGATGGTGGAAAAGATCTGTAGCTCAGGTGGATGATTTTGATGGAGTTTTGTTCTCTGAGCTGGATGGTTTAGTGGTGGAGCTTTCATCATTCTTCTGAACGACATCATCAGCACAAACTTCTACGACCAAACCATCCAGCTCAGAGAACAAAACTCCACCAAAATAAAACGGTTTGTATATAATACATGATAATGTAAACTTTGATATATTATAACTTGGCATTTCTTTCACGTTGCTATTTATCCAACTAAATGAATCAGGTTATTTCCCAAATAAATATTAATACTATATATTGTAAAATATCAAGATGTTAAAGTTATGAAGCAGTAACGATAGATTACTGATGTGAATATACCTTACCTTTTAATTTAACTTTTAAAAAAACTTACGTCAAAGATTTAGTAGACGCTACGGATGGAAGTGTTGAATAAAATAAGAATGTACTCCTATAGTGTAAACTATATATCGACAAATGGTTCAAACGTAAATAATCAATTCTGTATGAATTTAGAAATAAAGTAATGACTGAGTGATAAAAAACTCTTTTATCTACGAATTAATCCAATTTTTTTCAAGTATTCAGGGGATATCACTAGACCATACAAAAACATATGGCTTGAAATACATTACACGGGCCTATATTAGCTACAGAGTAGGATTTAAAACATTTATTATTATTTATTTATTTGAAAAAAAAACATTGATACAAGGAAGCACCAAATATATGTGCGCCATACTTCATCATTCGATTTGTGTGAGGGTTGGAATAATCTCCAGACACCCAAACCGAATCGAGTGATTTTCTTGGGCGAATATTGCATGAGCCTTTGACCTAGAGGTTTAATCAACAAGGTAGTGGAGTAACGTCAGTAGATGCAGTCCCATGGTATCCGGTGACCAACAATAGGTTTATATGCCATTTGTTCCTAACAAACCTAAAGTCTATGTGCTCTATTAGTTTGGAATCATGGTTTTCCGACTCTCCTAGATGGATCCTCCATATCCACCAACCCAGTTAAAGTACTGGACATTCGCTTTTTATCCTCTTAGTTTCGTAAACAACACCCTCGCCACGAGAAGGTAGAGAGTAGGACTTCCCTGTCAGTGGCTGTATACACGCGGCCATGTGAGAGCATTTCGAGGGGAAGAGAGGACTCTCCCCATCCCACCCTCGGCCGTGCCAGCGCATTCGGGGGAGTAGGATTTAAAACTTATTTTATTAATTATTATTTTCAGCTCAAGTTTACTTATCGCTGTCACTGATGTATATATCACAGATGTGAGCAGTTTTCATTGTGAAACAGATGAGTACAACCATAAAAACAAAATTATTTTCAGTAACATATAAGCGCCATATTTATGAGCTAAACATCATTCTTCCAATGAATTTAACCCCCCCCCCCAAAAAAAGCTTATGAGATAATAATTTCGAAAAAAGAAAGAGGAATCGTAGAACAGCATAAAACTTTATCGTGACATTGATAAATTAAAGCGTCAGCGTAATCTATAATACGATAATCGGACACGATAACAAATACACAAAGTCAGGAGAATACAAACAAAATGACCAAATTACAAGAAACGTATATATGTTATTAATAAGACTTGTTAATCATATATTACATATTATATCCTAGGTGAACACTGATTATTACTATGATAAAGAAATGGATGACATAGATTTAATATACATTCAATCAAACTTAATACAAAATCAATTGAATTAGGATGATAATCTGTCTACCTTTCACCAATTGACAAACAATCATTAATATATTCACTATTTTTCCGACCACAGCTTAATACTTTAAACTTTGTAGGAGAGTAGTTTAGCGATACTTCAACAATATACATTCAAAGTGTAAAACGTTTTAAACCAATTTCTCGCGGTATCAAAAAAAGTTGAAATCTACACTGTGCGTACAACAAAATGGTTAGGGGTGGAACTATATTCCCCCACAAACATATACATATAGCTACACGAGTTTCATCGAACCACAATACACAGAACCATATTTGCATCAATAAAATATTCAGAAGGTTCATGGAAAACGTGAAAACAAACGGAGGAGCTCACATAGCTTCGGATCACCACTTTCTCGAGACCGAGATGAGATTGGAGCTAAAAGAGCACTGAACAGCCGAGCAAACAACATTACAAAAGTTTGATACAGTCTTCCTTCGAGATACTGACAAACTCAAATAATTCAAAATAGGTATCAGCAGCAGGTCAGGTTCCAAGACTTACAACATTAACTTAAACAAGAGGTAACTACTATGAACAACAACTGGAAAGGGATGGAGGAAGCACTGGGAAAAAAACTGGAAAAGACAACCGAAAACACGGTTGGTTTGTGAATACTGTTTGGCAGTCTATGCCCCACGAGCAGTGACAGGCGCAATTAAGTAAGTAATGCGTTGATCTTAATCTCATAAAATATTTCAGTAAACCATGTCTTGACACAACGTGTAAAAACAGGTGGTTATAAGTCAAGGTGAATGCTAAGTAACACAATATTAATTAACAAAAATTTTTTTACTATTCTAAAAAACTCCTTATCAATAAGAGTAAATGCACATTGAAACTAGTGAATAGATTACAGTTACTGAAGGTGATTAAGAAAAGACGTCATTATATTGAGATTGGAATTTGATATATTATATGAGTAAGTATCCATTACAGAGCAATTGAAAGTATTTTAACACAAACCCAAACATATGAGAACTCTAACAGATTGAAGGTATATCATACAACTTTCAAAGGTAATAATTTACATGCTAATATCAGGCCAAGAGAGGAGACTGGAATTTCAGGATAGCTTAATATTCTGAATAGAAGTCTAAAATTGAATAAAATCAGAAAAATAATTGAGGCAGAAGAGTATGAGTCGTTATATTTTGTGTTTTCTCATTAACTGCTTACGACCATTGATGTGTAATAACGTGCAACGCTGAGATATGATATAATGTGTGACAATATCTCAGTATTTAACTGATACCAGGGATATCATCGACAATTCCCACTCATTAAAATCTATCGGTTTGCCGACGCAGTAGCAATTATAAAACTTAAACTTGATTTATGTCCCCAGATAGGGACAGTCACCCACTACCCTGATAAATTCACAACTTTGATTAATATCATCTGCAAGTATTTTTGTTATCATTATTTTACAAGTGTTTATTTTGTTATGCGGCTTTTGTCGAACTAACTCTTACCTCATCTACGCTAAAATCATACTTTCATTTATCAGTTTTTAACTCAATTCACCGAATTCTCTAAACTTATGAAAATTCAAAAAACTTTGTACAATTATTACGTAACCCTTCGATTGTTAGTTCTAGACAATTATTATTCAAATTCTTTCTTTCATCAATGTCGATTACTTCATATCATTTCATATATCGATGTTGCACTTTAATACAAACACGGTTGTGCAGCTGTTGAGAAACCACGATGTATAATGAATCCACAGTATTCTGCCTCGACTGTTGTCATGGCTTTAATCAAATTTGTAGAAAGAACCAATTAGTGAAAATCCAAAATCCAAATGGAACACAATAAATGACAATAGATAAGTGGAGAGCGGAAGACGATGAGGAGATATAAATTTTAAAAAAAAATTATCGACTTTGTACTTTGAAAAAATAATAGGGAATAACAAGAAAATAGATAACCTGAGGTCTCCTTAGCATAAAGCAAACTTAACTTTTAGGGACCCTTAAAGTAATGAGCCTGTGCCTTTTAATTTTGTATCTGTAGAACGACACGGTAAGATTAAAAAAACAAGATAAACAACCTCATAATGGTCAGGTTATTCAAGCAAATAAGTAAAATTAAGACTAGTGTACGAATTTCGGGAAAGAAAGATATGAAACTTAGGGGCTTGACTTATGAAACAATAATCCCCAACTCCAGCAGAAATAATAAAAGTTTGCCAAAAACAAGGTAAACACATAGTATAAATTTGGATCCGCCAGTGTTGCTTACGATCTGACAACAGAAAACGGAACAAAATCAATCAAAATCAGAGCAGAAGCGGTAGTGGTATAAATAGCATTCATCGTAATGACATAGATTATTCAAACAGAATATGATTCCAAAAGAATGAGGTGACGCAGTAAAAAAGTAGAACAAGTTTAAGATGTAGTAACACGCGACAGATATGGAACTAACATAGCTACAAATAACAACGAATTAAAACAACGACACAGAAAATAGCTTCGTGTAATCTAACAATCAAAACCATAACAAAATTACTAAGTTACAAATGTGGAAAAGTCAGTGGCAAAATTAATTTCTTAAAAATGAAAAAAATGATTGTTTAATTAATTACAGCGAAACGAAGGATCAGTTATCATTTCGTGAATCACTCATTTCAACAAAGTACCAATCGGACTTACCTGAATCTTTAAGTGATGGATCCGAATAATTAGCACGTATAGTGGAGTCCCGTTGTAAAGACGATGGAGCAGGTGGAGGAGGTGGTGTTGGGGGAGGTGGAGGTGGCGGTGGTATTGCAGAACGACATTCTTTCTCAGATTCCTAAGAGCAGTGAGAGAAAGTATCAACTACAATCACGTCATGTGAATAAAAATGACAAATTAAACTCAAGTACAACATCATCCAATTAGACTGATCAGACATTATATTTACATTGCATACATACCAAAAAACATTGATTTTCCACATCCACATGGAAAAGAGACAATGAAACAGTCACATATGGAATCCGCTCACCATAGAAATACAAAACCACAATAATACATTTATTAAACACAACTCAGTGTTTTAAGCGCAATGCAACAGAAATACAAGGCAGACATAAGAATAGAAAGCACCTGAGAACAATTGGAAAACACTGCCTAAGACGGATTGGATTGGAGAATACTGGTCAGAGGCCTATGCTCCACAAGGAAAACACGAATAATTAATGAAGATAACGTTGTTCAGATTACAACTATTTAACCCAATCTAATATAATGTCTTGTACATCCTTAACTGAATTAATCACAATTATGATTATAGTGTATTGATCAGATAAAATATTTAAACGGTCATACCAGATGCAGGAATATAATTACGCTTTATGTAGTGAATAAAATCAAAGTCAGAACACAACACACAAAACTGTCGTCAAACTACATTTTGTGAGCAAACAAGAATCCCACGAACAGATACACAAACTCACCAAAATCATTCAAATAAAAACACAACACTCCTTAGAATATATGTTTTTCTAGGCAATATCCATAAACAAACCTTCTTTGTAATGGACGTCATTGTGGTAGATGGTTTACACTCATGAGAATTTGATTGATTGTTCACAACATCGACAACACTTGGCTTTGTAACTATTTCTTGAGAATGATTTTTGGGCGCTGAGCCTTTATTTGATTTGCGGCCTAGTAAAGCACATAAATAATAAAGGTTACAAACCATTATAACACAAATAATTTAAACATACTATAACATTCTACATACAAAGATGTATTTCAGCAGAAACATGATTTTCATTGAATATGAATATGTAGTGGAGATTGACCAGTAATACTGATCAAAAAAATAAGTGTACATCAGTTGTTGACAAAGCATGTATGCCCTTTACCACAAAAACTACATACATAATATATGTTCACATCACAAAGCGTTTAAATAAATTAACGTTATTTTAGCGTCTTCAACAATCTTAACTATTCCATTACCGTACCTACGATAAACCAGTTGGAAAACAAGTTTTCACTTTGGACATTCGTCTATGAAAGTTCAGACGAAAAAGGAGCTAGCAATTAGAGCACATAACTGACAAAGTAATCACTTTAAGTCTGAGTTCACTGTAGGTTCGACTTGACCAATAGCATTCAAGTAACGAGATTTTAATAGGGAAGTATAATTTTGGCACGCCACTTAGAGATGGGTTCTAATGCTGAAAACCATCTACTTCAGAGAAACACGATCACAATAGCAATAATTTACGTATCCTTAGAGCTTCATACTTGCCAATCACTATCATCGCCCCCTGAAATTTATGGGACATTTGTGGTGGTAATTTCAGAACAGACTTACACTACGTAATCACCATTACTTAATCTGTCGAAATAAATACGAAAGATATCGGTTGTGCATGACACGAATTCAAAAAATTGCTGCACTGAGCCAGATATCATTGTTTAAAATGAACGGACCAGATGAAATCTACAATATTTTAGTCTGGATAGATGTACCAAGATTCATATGTTGAAAAATAACACACAGAATTGACAAAGTTGTTTACCTTCTTTTATGAATTCATCATCTAGGCGACTATCCGTTTTAAGCAAGTGCGAATCAGATTTACGAGAATCTTTATGTGTTGACTTGGGCATGTTTGGATCATTACCATTAACAGGTTTATTGAGACTTGGAAGTATTTGTGGTGGTGGTGGTGGTGGTGGTGGTGGTGCAGGAGAACGATATTTTTTCTCGGATTCCTAAGGGCAGTGAGAGAAAGTATCAACTACAATCACGTCATGTGAATAAAAATGACAAATTAAACTCAAGTACAACATCATCCGATTAGACTGAACAGACATTATGTTTACATTGCATACATACCAAAAAACATTGATTTTCCACATCCACATGGAAAAGAGACAATGAAACAGTCACAAATGGAATCCGCTCACCATAGAAATACAAAACCACAATAATACATTTACTAAACACAACTCAATATTTTAAACGAGTTAGTCAAAGCGCTAATGAATGCGTAGAAAGGAATCTAAGGTCATTGTGACTGAAAGAAAAACCAGCACACACAGTATAGAGTACACAAACGATGAGTAAAAATTCGTACTATATGTTCCGACGTAGAGTTTTTTTTAATAATTGGCGGTCCATATAAAAGAATGTAATTATTAGGAGGTAATAATTATATTTGAAGTTGTTATATTTGTTGATTATACTTGTTTAATTTTGTGATAATTAAAATTCAGCTTCTTTATTATGATATTCACTTATCAGTGGTAAGTGCTACACAGTTTAATTTACTGAAAATGTGGCTGTTGTTTATTGTAAACAAAAGAAGTTTTGAAATGTAGTTTTTGATGTATTTCTTGTGTTATATAAATATTTGTTCTGTGTACCTGTCTTTTTCCTTGTATTGTATCATATCAGTTTTGTTTATTTATAGCACAAAATGAATAATGAATATGTTGGAATTATAAAGCAGTAAGACAAAAATTGTCTGAAATTGTTGGCTTCATACTATCTGGCTCAAATTCAATATCTAGTAGATCATTTTTGTTAAGATAAAAACTATTCAAAGCTCTCTGATTTACTGTCTTATACATCTTTAACTGAATTCATCACAATTATGTTTATGGAGTATTGATCAGGTTAAATATTTAAACGATTGTAGTGGGTGCAGGAATATTCCTACGCCTGAATTAATAGGTATAACCGATGCTGGTACAAAAAGCACTACATTTCTGACAAGTTACATCCTTTTGTTTTGTATTATCACTAAAGGGGAATCTCTTGACCACGGGCCTTGTATTTACCAAGATTTGTCAAGAAGCGCTTCTGAAACGTTTAGAAAAATTATGTCCGCCTAGATGATTCTCGAAACATCGCTTAGTGCTCCAGTCATTTATTATTAGTTAGTTAGTTAGTTCACGAACTGAGCTGCTTGGTCTTGGAGTAATCACTTTCCCAGTGCTTGTAAAAATTAATTAACCGAGGAAGCAATGTTTTTGGTAAGTGAACCAAGATATGCCCACGTTTCCAATTTAATATTATATCAACTTAGTTTTGACGTAGGTTGTTGAATACAGCTGCGTTCATGTATCTTCTAAATTAAAGAAATACTCTCCCCGAAATGTATATATTGGCAAGACAAAAATTCATGAGACAAAATACAAACACGCAAACCTTCTTTGTATTTGAATTCACCATGGTAGATGATTTACGCTTGTGTGAATTTGATTTATCTTTCACAATGAATGATTTACTCCGTAATTCTTGAGAGCAGTTACTAATTGAGTCCCTATTTGCCTGAGATCCTAATGAAGAATAGGAATAATACAATAAATGAAAATCAATTCAGTATGAATTGTCTATAGTAAGTTCAGAGCAGTGATACCACAGTGAATAATGAATCACTTGAATAACTCTATAAAGTTTAAAAATAAGTGATATGTATTACTGTAGACTAAATTCACTGATTAATAACCACTTACATTTCATTAGTTATAAATTAGCATTCCTAAAACTACTTTGTAAAATTCTAAATGATTAAAATATTAGATGTTGGATAAGTCCCAAAGATCATTCAGTGGAATCTCACCCACACACGAATTATATAACAAATACTAAATGTTCAATGCTTTTTAAAACAAATTACCTCAGTAACAAAGAAGTAATCAACCTTTCACGACGAATTCTTAGACTAATTTATTACCTATATATTTGTCTGATCTTTTTCTGTGTAATTAACAATATAACTGTTTAACAATAACTTGAAGTACTGTTCAGTTAGTAGGTATCATTACCAAGGTTTAACTTGATAATTTCGAATAAATCGAGCATTGGGTAGATTGTTATAAATAAGTTAATATATTCGCAATGTCCCGAAGAGTATAAAAATGAGATTTTCTGACGTTTCGTGACTTAGTGTAGGCCACTTCTTCAGAGAATAAACAACCAAATTAAAATTCTTGTTGTTCCGTTGTACTATTTAAACTTGGATTTATTTCAATTTTGTTGTTTATTCTCTGAAGAAGTGGTTTACACTAAGTCACGAAACGTCAGAAAATCTAATTTTTCTACCCGCTGGGATATTACAAATATCTTATTTACTGTTCAGTTATATTTTATTTTTCTATTTACAGAAATAATATAAGAAAATACAGAATTGACCAGCCCAAAAATGATCAACAGAGACTAGAACTTACCAACGACTGAATTTCGTTTATCGTCCAATTTTTTATTATCATTTTTCTTACTTGGTAGTGTTACACAACTAGAAGACTGTACCTTGTCAGGTACATCGGCAAAAGGTGATAAATGTCGATGAGTTATTTGTTGTTTAGCAGGTACACTTGGTGCTGGACGCCTCTTATGCTTACTTTCAGTAGAGATCTTAGTTAACAATAACAACACAGAAAAGATTATAAATTAATTAAACAGCTATTAGGCCTAGAAAAATTATAAAGTATTGTACATAAAGCTTGCAATTCAACTATATTTATTACTAACTTTTACCATATATTCATGTTAAAATTACTTATCAGAAAATTTATTTTAAACCAACTCAATTAATAAGCACTTGATCATGACTCAGTATATCATAGTTCGAATGGTTGCACAGTTAGAAGACAGCCATCATTACAGACAAAAATACCAGGGAAACCTGAATGTTGATGACTTACAATTCGATGTAATGTTGTAATTATGGTTTGTTGAGATGTTTAAAACAAGGACAGATATCTAGTGGCTACTCGGTTGGGGTAGTTCATTAGATGATATTAGTCTACGATGAACACGTTGAAAATGATAAAATTGTGAATAAACGCCAAAGTGAGCTATTATGATTATTACTAGTAATTTCTTCGCTTCATATGATTCATTGTAAAAAGAATTCTGTTAATTATTAACGCATAATTAACGATAACATTTATCCCTGTTCTTCAATTAAAATACACACAGATTTCCAGATGACCTTATGTAATTAATGATAAATTAACTATTTTTCGACTTTTCACACTATCATAATTCCTATTATTACGGCCCACCCAGCCTTTATTGAGTAGCATTCTTGGACAATACTTCACTCGACAAGTCTCTAAATCAGAACACGGTTGAATAGGAACGTAATTATATTCCAAATAACAAGGTTGAATAGAAGTAGGAACCCCAACAAGATAAACGTCAGAATATTTATAATTTTCACATGAGAAGATTCTTCTCCAAGTCTCCGCTAGCGCTGATTGCTCAAGAAATAGCCGACCAGAGTGCCTCAACACAATGCTGCACGGAGTATGCTTCAATTCAATCTATGTACCGCTGACATAAACTTAGTCTTTTGTAAAATAATATTCTGGTGTACTATTATTATTGTTACTACAGATATTATAAAAATAAATTTTGTTTACTAGAGAGTACTCTGACCTAAAATGTTAATAGTCTAGAAATCATTATCAGAAATGGGTTTTGTGGAGATTGTAGTAATTTAACAGTTAAATTCATGAGTGGATTAAAGCCAGACCACCTTGGAAAACCTGGAAGCACTGCATGGCCGTTTCGTCCTAGTACGAGACTCCTCAGCGATGAGTATCCACGACCCCGCTTGCGGGATCCGAACTCAGGACCTCTGATCCCACGTGCCAACGCTTAACCTCTAGACCACTGAGGCAGCATCCAACAGTGTAAATGTCTAACTTCAACCAATCCACGAAATTGCGCCACCATGGATGCGCACTTCTGAGGAGTCCCATACTAGGACGAAAAGGTCGTCCAGCGCTTCCAGGTTTTTCAAGATGGTCTAACTTTAATACACTCGCGAAGTCTAGAAATTATCTTTAAACAACAATGTGACGTTAATTCGATCATAGGTGTCTTCGAAACATTGCTCGTATATCATGGGACCATCGAGTAAGTAACACAGTTGTTAGGAAACGGGTAATAGGTAAGGATGGCAAATCAATTGATGACGTAGTGAAACTTCATCAGTTGAGATGGCTGGGACATGTGTTACATATGCCTAACCACCGACTGCCTCGACGTGTGATGTTCAGTGGTATAGGAGTAGGTTGGGCGAAAGCTAGAGGCGGCCAGACCAAAACATGGCACAAATCCATGAAGTCACTGACAAGTGGACTGAGCCATGTTAGTAGGTGTAGACTACCTGGTTGGGGACTGCGAGATGATAGCAACCGATGGTTAGAGACCCCGAATGACATGGCTCAAAATCGTTTGCAATGGCGCAGGTGCATCCACTCTTTGTGTTCTCCCAAATTTTGATCTCCTTATTCCTCCTTGTCTCTTTTTTTCTCTCCCCAAATTTATTTCACTGTATTATATTCCTTAAATAACATCTCCAAACACTAATTTTCCTGATTACTGCTTATATTCTTATTACCTCTACCACTACGGGATTTGAATTGACAACTGCATCTCTGTGCTAAGGTGATGTGGCAACTCGAACTGATGTACATACGTACGAAGTTCTACGTTGTTACTGACTGACTGTCGTTAATTAATTACAAAAAATAAAACAGTGGTCTTCTAAGTTGAAACATCCATTTAGAGTTTTCAAATCACTATATCAGAGGCGAAAAATGTAAAAACTTGGGAATGTGTGTCAATAGTCAATGAATTTAAAAAGTGATTCAATGACGTGCGACTTTTTTATCCCACTACTATGCTGCAAATCGCTGGCTAGTGATATGTAACACAAATCTAAACAAATTCACTCGTTGAAAATCCAGGACTCTCCAAAAGACTGGCTACTAACATAACATACTAAGTCACTTATGCTATCTACTAATTCAATATAAATGATGGAACTCAAGAGGTAACTGAAATGGCCATTTTAAAGAATAGTTGGACAAAATTCTTACTTCCACTTCCAAATTAGATATCAGAGAGTCATCATTTTGACTCTTTTTGTGTGACTTTGAGTTCTTGCTAGATTTAACTTTTCGTTCTGCAAGATAAAAGATTTAAAAAATCAAAACAGACAGACACCAAGATATTAATATAGGAAGTGATCTGCAAGTTTTAATAATTTTTAATAGCTGTAAATTCATACAACTGGAGAAATTACATCAAGAGGCTTTCTCGTCTATTTGTTTACAAACAAGCGTGCAAGTAACCGTCAAGCAGCGATTCAGTTAGGCAAGCTTAACTGCCAAATTTTTTGAACCATATTTCTTATATTTAGCCTTACATCGGAACAGCCATTAATATTTTTACCGTTCTTTCCAGTGATATTCTTTCGCATAGCTCTTTACTCAGTAGCCACATAGAACTTTGGTTGTTCCTTGAAGATAAGCTAAGAGTTAACTATCCAAACTTCATTTCTCACACTTAAACTACCATTGCTTTTCATGTTATTTTCCATACTATGCTTCCCATTTTGTCTGTTTCCTCTAGCTGCATTGATGAAAGTGGAAGCGACTTAGAGTGACGCAAACCCATCCCAGGTCCCACATGGATAACGACTAATTGACTGACCGATTACTTAAAGATAAGATCAAATAATTTTAGTTTTTCTATGTAATCAACCTTTGACGACCACGTAAAGTGGCTACATATTGAGAGAACAATAACTCGTGTTCAAAATGAACAGTCTCGGAGACCAAATATTTCGACACTCCCGCGAATGTGGCAAAATGGTGAAATAAAGTAGATTTAAACGTAATACATGCTATTGGACAGTAACCATGTCCTAAAAAGAATAGCAAACCACTCGGCGATTGGTTGATTAGCGATATTATTATAACTATGTAGTCTCAAGTGGTATATTACAATTGTTTGACACTCACTATAACCGAACTACAAAAAGACTCTTGAAACAAATATATCAGTGAACTTTTTAATCCTTAAAATAGCTGCCAGGTTCTACGTTGTTTATGACTGACCTTAGAACATAGTCACTAAGGAAATGATAGAAAGGCTGTTTCAGAATTAAGAAAGAATAAATAAATGATAAAAGAGCTATTTCGTAAACCTGAAATTTAGCTAGTTTTTTAATCACATGACTACAATTCAGAATAAAAGATCATGCAACCAAGGATTTTAATCATTATAAGACCATAATCTTTCCAGTAAAGACAGGAAGAATTAAGCGCCAATTTAAATAGCCCTTGATGGTCGTTCTGAGCAACTCTGGCTAGCGGGTTATCGAAAGCTATCGGTTTTATTTATATCACGTTTGTTACATCTATATCAACTTTACAGAAGCTAGTAACAAGATAATAAATGGGTTATTATAAATAAATCCAAACCGAGTTACCAACCTTTAAGTTCAATTTGATCTGCATTTTGATTTAAGAATGTATCTTTTGGATCTAAAATCGTTCCCTTTTGGGGATCAGTAATGTAGTAGTTGCTTAATTGAACATGACGCTCCGAAGACACCTGAAATGAAAGCAAGGCAAAATCGATGGCGCTAAACATGTATATCGTCAGTAATTGAATACATCACATACCGAATAGTACACGTTAGTCCCTAAAATTGTCAAAAGATTCAGCCCACTGAAAATTAAAGGAATAAATCGGCAGATTCAGACTACGATATATTTACCGCCTCAGACAAATCATACCACTTAAAGGTCTGGATCGCATTGGTCAATAAGAAATAAAGCATACAACCCGAGGAAGTTAGACCGGCTTCAGACCTGGTTGTCGATGTACTGAAAGTCTTCGCCGTTCAGTAGGTTTGAAAACACAGGCACCTGTACTACCAGCCAGTTGTGACCATGTTTATTAACCTGAAAAATCAGTAGTCTAAGTCGGTCACCTTTGGTACCGACGCGACATATTTGAGAAACATAAACAGAAGTATGACATAATACAAATGTGTATCAGTTCAAATCTTCTACGTTTCGTACTGCCATATCTAAAGGAAATTAGAACGACAAGGAGTGGAAACAATGATACTGACGGTGATAAATGATGTAAAAATGGAGATAACAGAATTCAAAGTACAGAACAAATCGGCAAAGCTAAAGAAATAGTAAGCTTAGGCAGCATCGCGCCAAACTACTATGCAAAATTCGACCGAAAAATGCTTACTTTTTGAAGTACTTTACTAATAGGTTGATCCAAATGTCCACGAACGACAATTGTGCAGTCTTCTGGTAAATGCACAGTAATCCGATGTCCCAGCTAATTTTAGAAATGCAGATAAAAAAGCAGTAATGTAGTGCATCAACAAGCATACATATACAGAACAGCTTTGAAGATTTTCCTTCTACTATACAGTAGTAAAAACTTTGTATGGCAAGAACCAGTAGTGGATAAAACGAAAAACACATAAATGAAATCATTGCGACGTATAAATGATTCAGAGGTCAAACTAGTTTTAGGGGATTAAGAAATGAACGGAATTTACAAATTATTATTACAGTAGAATACCCCGTGAGTTAAGATCAAAGAAAAAGCAAGTACTGCTTGACAAACACATCAGACGAAATGGTAGTTGTCTAAAAACTGTAAATGAGCACTTTGAAACCAGTTGTTACCATCATTAATAGTGGTATGATTTTGGTAGAGAAAATAGAAACTGCTGACTACTGAATTATGTGATTTAGAGCTGATCTCCAATAACTTCAACACAAAACATGTTTATAAATACTTTTTTTCTTTGTGTCTACTTGAACCACTGTTCAAAACTTTGTGTCTAGCTAATGAAATAAAATCCGACGAGGTCATTAGTAACTCAGTAAACGGAAAAAAATTATTTATAACTCACTTCATTTAAAAATTCTCTCCCCGTTTTTAGGAGTGTAATAGGGTATTTGAACTTCGTGTCAAGGAATGGATACTGATAAAGCTTAGCAGACTTCTTGAAACAGCATTTAGCAATGAGCCTAACCATAGATGGTAGCGTTGTTTGAGTTGTATCAGAATTAACCCAATGGCCAAGCCTACTCCTCGAAGGAGCAGAAAGCCAAAAGATGCCTGAAACTCCAGAAAGGCCCTCGCAAGGAACTAAGAAAGTGTAATCCACTGCTTCTAAGCCACATAATGAACAAAGTCGAACGAGGAAATCAGAACATTGCATGTCGAAGTCCACACCATAAACGCGAATAAACTCTTCAGTAGCGATACACTCGACGTCGACATACGATCCATTATCACCACAATTCATATAATAAAATCTCGTGGGATCATAATTTTCAAAACCCCGGGAGTTGCTGCCGAATTCTGAACGATCCTTAGAGGACTTCGAGTAGACGATGTTCTTAAGTCTTTCAATTGCATCAGCCAAACCCATATCCTTAGTTAATGTGTAGTATTAAATTTGAAACACTACAGTCCCCACAGAAATTCCCAGCAAAATTGACAAGAGTCGTCAGTGGACTAGTAGAAAATGAAATAAATATTTGATTTAGGAATTTATCCCAGATTTTAGTTTATGTTTATAAACTTTCCAATGTTACCAACTAGAAAAAACTTCGACAAAAACAAGACAGTTCACTGTTTTGAGATATAGTACTTCCTAACATGTTTATTTTCCAAACTTAAATAAAAGAGAATACACTACGTACAATAGCATTCTTAAAAGTCGTCAATTTTGTTTTGCTGAAAAAGACGATTTTAACACAAACGATGTAATCATATCTACATATGAGTATTTAATGAAATGTTTTTTAATTACAAAGGTAACACATGTCTGGATTTTCAGTGATATCCAAATCCCTAGTTCCTTCAACTTTATGTTTATTCACTTTTATACACTTTATGCATATTGTCATGTTATTCCTCACTATTGCTTCGACTTAAAAAAAACAAAAGAACGCTTTTGAAAAGCTAAAAGTAAAATTAAGTTGATATGACCTTGTGAGTAGTAATTATTTCAAAGTGAAATGATATGTAGAATGTGAACAAGACAAAACCCCGCCTCTGTTTCATTAGGTCACCTGAGGAAGACCGTACTAGTAGTGGTACAAAAAAACAAACTACAATGTCCAAGAAAACTGAATTTTCTGTAATTTGTTGCGAAGTCATATTTGTGTAATACGCTTTCAAGTTACGAAGTTAATAAATACCCAAAATAAACAGTTCTGTACTGGTAGTATTGATGGTTGTGCACTACCGAGGAGTACCGTAGTGAGACGAAATGGCCGTTCAGTGCTTCCTGTCTTCGATAGTAGGGATGGGAGAACAATCCACCTATCTCAATCCTGGCAATTTATAGTACCGTGAAGATCCGATCCCTCGCTGGATGTATCAGGTGCTGACAGAACGTGTTCTCGAAAGGAACATTAATTCACTACTCGGTTTGATAAGTGCGTAGCGGCAAATAAGTCCCCGAGATAAATGGTTAAACAAGGCTTCGGCATTGACGATGATCTCATTGGTTTTACTGGGCACACCCTGACCGAAGGCGCTTGGTCACACATCCAAATCAGACTGCGAGTAGGCACGCCGTGCTACTCATCCCTTTTGACCACCAGCCAGGTCAGATTAAGCGCTCCTCAATACATCGACAATCTTCCAAATATGTGTTCAAGTCTGTTTATACCTAAATCTTGATTTAACAGGGTTAGCACACTTCCATGAACAAGGTGTTACGGACAAGAGCGTTATCAGACCCTGAAAATCTGTGGCATATTTGATTTCGAGATCATCGTCAGTGTACGGTAAGCCAGTATTAAACCAAACTGTAATCTGTGATAAAATGACAGAAGTAGGACGTCACTTCTCAGTCTGTCTTCATAAGATAGGCTGAACAGACTACTCACTATATTGATCGTTCTCTATAAAACAAGCGAATAGTTGACGAGGTCAAGATATGACTTGAGAAGAATAAGTAAATTAGTCCGTTTTGAAGCTAGAAAAACCTATGTGGGTTGATATAGTACTAGCCACTACAAAGATACATTGTAAGAAGTAGCACAGGGATTTGAAATAGTTTGTTTTCGTTAACACTAAGCAACGAGAAATATTGTTCTATATTAGACAGGGTACAGTATCAAGTAAGGAGTGAGTGTATAATATGAGAGTGACATACCTATGTAAACAACGAATATGAATATTACAAAAATGCGGACAAAAAAGGGGAAATGTAAGCATGTGATTATGAACAAATTAATCAGCGAACATGCATACACTTATAGCACAATTATCCTAACGAATAATATTCTTCTCAACGATTTCTCATCAAGTTCTACAATTCTATAATCCAAATTGGCCAGGTTTAAAGCAGAGTACATCATTGATATTATAACATGTGAATTAAGGATTGTTTGTAATGTAAAATCAAATTGTTAATGCTTGGGTGTCTAATATAAGGTGCTAACTTGAATAAGGTCATACGCTAAAGAAATTGTGAGACTAATCATCAGAATAAATATGGTCAACATGGAGTAAGACAGAAAATAGTATATTTACAGATCGGAAATCACATAATATGTACCATGATACGAATTAGACAAGAATTGGTAGATGGGAGTGGATGCTGAATAAATATCTCAAAAGGTTAGCAAGTGTAATAATAATGATAAAATGATAATAATAATAATGACAATGGTAAGATGTGTGGATAAGTTAGGTTTTTGATATAAAAATGAACAGTGGTTAAATTACGTCACCATATCATAAAAAATAAATAATGACTAGTTGGCTTCGAAGTTGGCCAAAGTGAAAGGAGCGGCTGAACATGTTTCTTTTGGATGCAAAGCTCTGGCATTTTAGTCCGAATAGCAATTACTTCAATCGTCTACAGGATTCCCAGTATAATGGAATTAAGGAGACTGTTGTTAACATGATATATTATTATGAAAGATTGCTCCATGTTGGTCGTATATTCTGTTCGGATTAAATGAGCTTAAATGGAGCTGTTAACAGTTTTAACTGTGCATTTGCTTAACCACACACATACATTTATAACATGTTTGCATAAGCGATTCGAAATTACGTGAAAACAGAGTACTTTATGGGCATGACAGGAATAATTCGTGAGAGTAAGTAGAGTGGAATATTACAGATATTGACCTGTAGTGCAGATAGAATATAAGGATAAAGATTAATTGATTGTAAAAAAGGTTCCAATAAGCCTCAGTAGAGTAAATAGTGTCGATTGGTTTCGTAGGATAAGAATAATCCAGCCATAAAATGGTAACTGCATTGATGAATGATATTTGTTGCTGTACTGTAATTGGCACTAATCATAAAATGCGAAGCCAGTGTTGTTGTTGTTGTTGTTTGTGTCATAACCAAATGAATCGTGTTATCGGTGAATATGCATTGATAGAATGACCAGAGGAAGAGAGTAGTGCCTTCGAAGACGAGATACAAGGAGTCGTATTCTTTTTTTGTCATGCCTGGTATTGTTTGTGTAGTTAGAGGGATATGTGCTGGACTTAGTTTGTTACAAAAGCGTACTAAGGCGTGATAAAAGTGCCAATACATATGACTATCGATGACGGGCGAGTGAGACTGGCTTTGATGTGATGAATAAGAGTATATCTTTGAGAGACTAGCTCTATGTTCTGATCTACAGTGTGGCAAGGACAGAATTTTAGTTTCAGTAACCAAGTACTATTTGCGGGTAATGAGTGATGCAGCATGCAGTTTTACATGTTGACACTTAAATAAGATTAACATAATTGTCGCTGATTGGCTAGTAATGCAACAACGAATTTTTGATGCATGTGTGGACAATAAGGCAAGGATCATCGACTAAACAAAGAGTGGCTGAAGCTCGGTTTGTATTGTCGTTGAAAAAGTGGAAGACGATTGCTACGTAATAATGCAATGAATGGGCATTAGTTGCATATCGAGACCCTAACTTCGCGTGTATGACTCCAAACCTGTGTCTGTAATAGCGTTGTTAACCGTTGCCAGTGATATGGTAGCTGTGATCGTGCTATTTTCAACGTGAACAGGTTCACTCAACTGTTAAGACTGACTATTTGTATGCTAGACCGTCAATTTACTTAGCATGTTGCAGGTTGTTCGATGTACGAGTAGCTAGTAAATAAGTTGAAAACAAATGACGTGTTATTACCGTATATCCACAAAAGTGAACGATAATGAATAGGTCACTGGTGTGGCATGTACTTGTAAGATCCATTTTGAATGCTTTGTGTGTTTGTGGAAATCCCTCCATGTATATCCTTACACTTTGTTCCTATTGATTCGTTTAGTTGTACATTGTTAACTTTTTGACTACATTTGAATTGTTAATATTTGTATTTTATTATAGTTTCGTTTTTACTACACCTTCACCAATTCCCCATGTTTCTTCCCGAACTGCACTTATGTTGTTTTACTTTATACTAAGTCTGGGCGGCAGCCATTTTGGTTTATCCCTGCTTTTGATTGCTTGACCTGTGTTGACTGGAATTGTGCATTTTGGTTGTGAATTGAAGCACTCTTCCAGAACTGAAAACACTCTGTGTTATAGAGCGACCAATTATTACCTTTTGAACGAGTCTGTACGTGATCTATCCAGACAGGATAGAATAACATTTATTTGTGGTGATTGGTAATTTTCTTGCATCCTTTATCAACTTTCTTATTTATTGTAATTTAGATTTAATTGATTGAACAATCATTGGTTGAATAGCCGGGTGATGATATTTGTTTAGGTAATGATTTACATTAAATTTATTATGAATTATAGAACCGCTAGTTACCCGATTACTTGTTCTGATTTCGACGGGAAAGGGCGCGTGTCTAAAGTCACGGGAGGCCATTCTTCAACATCCAAACCGTAGTTTGGATCCTACAGTACTTCTGAACATTAAAAAAGCCAAAAAAACGTGGATGCAGAATAGTATGAATTCAATATATTTCGTGGTTTTATAGAATTCTGGTCTAGTTCGTTATTAATACTGCTATAATAATAGAAATAACCCTGAAATTTCAGATTTTTCATAGTGTGACTGTCTAGTCATTGAGATTATACATGGAAGTCACATCACTGTCCACGCTGACTCATCGTATCATACTGAACACTTTGAAAGAACATATTTTGTCTGGGGATGGAATAATAAATTCAATAGGCATCATTACAAGGTTTAAGTTGATCATTTCAAATAAAATGAGCATTGGGTAGATTATGGTAAATAAATATAATATATTTGTAACATCCGAATGAGTAGAAAAATGAGATTTTCTGACGTTTCGTGACTCAGTGTAAGCCACTTCTTCGAAGAACAAATAACCAAATTAAATCAGTCCAAGTTCAAAAAGTACAAAGGGATAAAGCAAGAGTATCAAGTGCTGTCAACAAAAACATGTCTGAACAGGTCAATGTGATGTCAT